CTGCCTTCCTCTCTCTCTAAAAGTTAATAAATATATATTTTTAAGATGCCAAGGGAGGGATATTTTAAGTGGAAGTAAAAAAAATAAGTTTATCTGGAAGAATAAAAAAGCAAAGATATGCCGAGCTGGTGTGGCTCAGTGGCTGAGTTTCGACCTATGAACCAGGAGGTCACAATTTGATTCCTGGTCAGAGAACATGCCCAGGTTGTGGGCTCAGTTTGCAGTAGGAGGCATGCAGGAGGCTGCCAATCAATGATTCTCTCTCCTTTTCCCTTCCTCTCTGAAATCAATAAAAAAATATATATATTTTTAAAAAGCAAAGATATTTTTGAGAGACATAATGAAAAAAGACCTAAACTTATTTGATATTAAAATGTTATAATTCTAAAACAAAACATATTATAATTCTAAAAATATTAAATACAAAAATGCAATGGAGGGTCACAACACTGCATAGATCATGTTAACAGAGAGCAACAGAATAGCACAAGTAGCCTTGAGATAAACCTTGTTGCTATATGATGAGGAGGCCGTTAGGCTGAGGTGGTTCTAGTACCTTAGCAGCCTAACCAAGCCAAAGCCAGTAAAGGCCTTAAAGTTAAGAAATGAAAAACTAAGGGCAACCAATCACAAACAGGCACCTAGGCTTTCCCAAATAAGGTAAACACTCAAGCTCCTGCCAGTCAAAGTTCCCTTGCTTTGCTCCCACCTTTTCTCTATGTAAGTCCTTCCCATAGCTCCTATTTGTGGAGCACTCCTGGCCACTTCCCCTGGGCATTGCCAGATTCAAATAGCTTTGTGCTCAGTAAACTCTTAAAAATTTTAATATGCCCAACTCGACTTACCTTTAAACATGAGAAAAACATCATAACTCAATAAAAAAGGAAAAGATATTCACTGAATGATGTTGGAAAATTGGTTATTAATTTGAAAGCTAGCAACATTCTCCCTGACTTTTACTCTTCCCGTCTTTCCAAGAGATTTTTATAAGCTCTTAAATCCCTTTATTAAATCCTTGTTTGAAATACCTAGAATATTTTCTGTTATCTTATTTGAATCTAAATTGATACATTTCTAGAAAAATATTTTCTTTTACCTATAAATGTAAATATTATAATACCACACAAGAAATTGCTTTTAAAGTTAAATGGATTGCTCCATAGCTGAAAAAGTACGAGTACCTGTATCCTTAACAGGACTCTAGGGGGCAGCAGAGAGTTATTCACGCAATCAACATTACATCTTTTTTTTTTTAAACTTACCTTTATTGTTGAAAGTATTACAGATGTCCCTGTTTTTCCCCATTGACCTCTTCTAGCCTGCACCCCAAAGTTACATCTTAACCAAAAGTGTACACTTTGGTTGTTTTTTTCAATACTCTTCTGTTCTTTCTTATGACTAAGCCTTAATTAACAAACTGGGTGGCCAGGATTAGGGAGGTTGTCTGAGGTCATGCTAAAAAGCCAAAGCAAGGATTCAAATAATCACTTTTGTGTCATTAAACCAATTCTTAAAGTAGATAAACCAACTAACCACAACTAGTATACTGTTGGCTAAGCATACTTAACCAGCACATATTAGTATGAAAAACTGATGACTATAAAGCACTGAAATCATTTTAGGACTTTCTACTCCTATAAGTACAAAAAGTATACATAAAGAACCAAAGTCACTTAGCCACATTTTTAGAATATTAGATTCACATTAGAAGTATATCAGTATTTCAGAAATTGTTGAAGACAAAAGACTACGAAAGCATGTTCAAAAATTCATGGAACTCTGATTTACCCTCCCACTGTAAACAACAAAAATTCTGGGTAAGATAAGTAAAATGCGCCTAGAAGCTGACAAAGTAAGGGATGCTAAGGCCAAAATTAAGTGGATGTAGAAATCCAGGGAAGTATGAACATTGACAGAAACTGGCCTTCGAGCATTACTAAACCAAGTAAATTTCAACTTTAGTTTACATCTCTTTACAGGCACAGAGAAGAAAAATTACTCAGGTCCTCCTCAGCATGTCAGTTCTAAGTAAGACTGAGATACCTAAGGGCCACCCTTTCGATATAAAAACAAACTAGAAGTAAACACCTTGGATGCTGTACCCCTCCTACTCCACTGAAAGTGAAATTGCCTGTTGGAAACCTGGGTCCAAATATAGGGAAGGAAATATCTCTTGAGTTTTATAAGCATAAGATGGCCCACAAAGTTTTGCAGCCCAATTTCATTCCTCTGGGTGGTTTAAAATACCTCAGGTTGAGGATTAGCTTAAAATGGTTACAGATTCAGGAGTCTCACAAAGGCAAATATAAATATTCTCTAAACTATAACTCACTTCTATTCCAGGCCTCCAAGAAATTCCCACAAAAATATGAGTTCACAAAAATCATGAAACCCAAAAGTAAAATACATATTATGAATGACAGCCAGCATTATCAGACCCTCAAAGATGGAAGTTATGGAAATTGTGAAACACAGAATATAAATCAAAAATATTTAAAAATGTTTTTAGAAATAACCACACTGAAATTATGAGCAAAGAATAAGAGCCATAAAAACAAAAATTAAACAACCAAGCATAGAGAGTCAAATAGAATTCCTAGTCATAAAAAAGCATAAGAGATATTTAAAAAGTCAGTGAAAATGGATAAAATAGTAATAATAAATATGGAGTGGGTTTTAAACATAGGACAGCAACAAGGCATATATTATTAAGCCTTTATTCCAACAAATTTTTGAGTTTAAATGAAACAGACAAGGCCCTGGACAAATGTCTCAGTATATCTAAATCAAAAGGAATAGAAAACCCAAATAGTCTTATAACCTTTAAGGAAATTGAATAAGTCCAAACTATGTCAATCAATAAATCTCTCCAGGCCCAGCTGACTCCTCTGGCAGAAAAATTTTTAATCTTACACAAATGCTCCCAAGGAACAAAATGGGCATAACATTCCCAGCTCATTTTGTGAAGCTGCCAGAACCCTGACAACAAACCCAATAAAGAATGGGGGGAAAAAGTGCAGTGACCTCACTAATAAATGTAGATTTAAAATATCCTAAGCAAAATATTAACACATTAAACTCAAAGTTTGTGTGTGTGTGTGTGTGTGTGTGTGTGTGTGTGTGTGTGTGTGTTTAAAGCCCTGGCCAGGTAGCTCAGTTGGTTAGAGCATTGTCAGCATTGTCCCCACACACCAAGGTTTTGGAGTCAGGGCACATACAATTATCAACCAATGAATGCATAAATAAGTGGAACACCAAACTGATGTTTCTCTCTCTTTCTCCCTCTCCCTTTTTTTCTCTTTCTAAAATCAATTTTAAAAATTAATAAAAAAAGGCATATTATGACTAAGTTGGGCTTATACCAAGAAAGGTTGATTTAACATTAAAAAATCAATTCATTTCACCACATTATTAATTATAAATAGGTTAAGAAAAAAATCATATGGCCTCTTAGTAGCTGCATAAAACTCACATTTCATAAAATGGAAATGTAGTCATGATTTTCTTTAAAAGTCTCTTAGCAAAAGAAATAGCCAGAGAGTATCTACAGCAAGTATTATGCATAATGTTGAAACACTGTATTCATTCCCTGTAAGAGTAGATATAAAGTAAGTATGCTTGCTGTCATCACTTTTATGAAATTGCTGACATTTGACCTTTTTGGCTCCCAAAGTGCCAATATCATAAGGTTCGATAATAAAATTTGATAATAATGACAGATGTCTTAAGGGCACTTTATCATATCTGAAATCTGCAGTCAAGAGACAGAAAGCTACACACTTAAAAACTAAGATAGAATAATTAAGGGACAGAAAAAGATACCAACACCAAGGAGTACTATGAATATGTGAAAGTGTTTATTTAACAAACGCTAATAATGGAATATCATGTGCCAGGCACTCTTTAAGTGCTCCACAAAGATCAATTCATTTCATCCTCAGAACAGGCCTATCAGGCAGGTACTTTTGTGATCCTCATTTGACAGATAAGGAAACTGAGGCAGAGAGAGTCAATACTTTGCCTGAGGTCACATAGCAATTAAGTGCAGGGTCAGGATTTGAACCCATGTGGTCTGACTCCGGAGTCCTTTTTCTAAAACTTACATCATGCTGTCAATCACAATGCTGTAACTGTTCTGCCAGAACCATTAGAGAATAATCTATCCAACAAATGTACTTAAGACACTGCTTGTTGGTGTGAATGTAAGGATACTGCTCCAACTATCTATTTATTGCTGCATAACACATCTCCCCAAACCTATCAGCTTAAACAACTATTTATTATGTTCATGAACACTGTGGGTCAGGGGATTAGGGCGGGCACCGCAGATGGCTTCTCTCTGCTTCATAATGTCTGGATGGGAAAAATGAATGGTTGGAGGCTGGATGACTTAAAAGCTGGACTCAGCTGGGCCTGTGCACCCAGCACCCCCATGTAGACCCTCAAAATAGCTAGAGATTCTCACACCATGGTGGCTGGAATCAGAGAGGGGAATCCAGAGAGCAAACATTCCAAAGGTATACGAATGCATTTGCAAGGCTTCTTGCAACGTGGCCTCCCAAGTCGTGCAGCATCTCTTCCTCCACATTCTGTGCTTAGGACAAGTCACTGGGTCCAGCGGGATTCTGGGGAGGGGAGTTATGCTCCACCTCTGGTGGGGGAGGAGCAAGGTAGCATTGCAGAAGAGCAGGTGCGGGAAGGTAGTGTCAAGGCCGTCTTTGGAAACACAATTGGGCACAGACTCAGAGAATGTTGACAGAGCAGTCTTCCACTCTGCCATCCTTAGCACATCCAAACAAGTCATCTATCCCACAAATGTATTTAAGAAATTGCTTGTTGGTGTGAATGTCTCAGTCCTTGGTTTTAGGTTGGCTGCATCAATTCCAAGCATCAGAAGGAGATGTAACAAGGTCACACAAAGAAAAAGAAGGGTATTTCCTCCCATGAGTCTCCTTTAATGAGAGAAAACAACCTGCTCCCAAATGTCACAGCCAACTTACCTTCAGGTCCACGGACAACTGACTTTGCCCATGAGTGTACCATAGCTGAAAAGGAAGATGGGAAAGAAATGATCTAGCATTTTGTCTTGTACAGTAAGAAGGGCTTCTGCTAATTAAAAAAAAAAAAAAAAGGAGATTCAGAGTGCAGAATCTCAAAGGGAAGGGAGGGGAAGGAGGGGAGGGGGGATAAAGGTGATCAACCAAAGGGGGGGGTGGGGGTGGGGTGGGGGTAGGGATCAATGGGGGAAAAGGGGGGACATATGTATTATTTTCAACAATAAAGATTTAACTAACTAACTAACTAACTAAATAAATAAATAAATAAATGGAGGAGGGAAAATTACTGTTGAGTGACCAGCATCTGCCACAAATATAGGCAACCGTCCATTCATTTTGCAATTCTTCTTAAGTTATTTAAGAGAAAATAGCCAGGTTTATTACATATGTACATATGGAAGTTCCGTAAGAGTATGAGACCAGAGGGCAAATTGGGCAATCAAGGCCTATATGCCATTTTGAGCTGATTGCTAATTACATACCAGGCACACTGCTAAGAGGCAGGGCACAGCAGTGAGTAAGACAGACCACATCTGGCCCTCATAAGGCTTACAGTCTGGCACAGAACAGAGATTTATAACAAGCAATTATATAATTAAACACAAATGTGTTGTGCTATGAGAAATGCACAATTTGCTGTAAATAAATGTTTCTTTATAGAATCATATTGAAATGAAAGAAAAGATTAATAACTACCATAAGAGGTACAAGGTCTTTACTAAACCTAAAAAGTGATCATTGAAAATTATGATTTTTCCATTACGTAGGGGAGTAACGCACTAGTCTGGCAGACAGTGTCCGTGTCATTAGAAAAGTTACTCCATCAAGAGTCAGAGACTGTTCACTGGGATTTACTATGGACCAATGAACTCTCTCTTAAGACCATCTGACCTGCTTCTGTCCAGCTGCGTGCTCACCACGCAATCTGGATTACTTCATCACCTGTCCAGGCACTTTGGATAACAGATTGGAATTCTCCAGTCTCTGAAAAGTTTTACCTGCTACCATAAAGTGTTGTTTTGTTAAATTTAATGTGAACATGAACAATCTTAGGCCTAATCCCTCTTCAGGAGCCTGAAAATTGAGACAACAGATCTTCAAAGGTAAAAACTGGACAACAAAAGGGGTTTCATGGAAAGTAACCTCACAGGGTGATCTAATCATAAATTCCTAACTGGGCAGGTCATAGCGGGTAGTCATGCCCCAGGCTTTTATAACTTAAGCAAGCTCTGTCCATTGTTTCTGTGCATTTAGGTTAACACACCTTTGAAGTAAACTTTAATCATCCTCAAGAAAGCACATAATCTCGTTAACTATCCTGCAATCCAATCCCCACCTTGCTTTTTCTCACCTCCAATAAATGCAATGAAGTTGCAAAACTGTTATGCTGCAGAGCATTTGAGATCTTACTTCCCTGGCATATGTCATCAGTTTTGCTCAAATAAACCCTTATAAAAACTACCTACAGGTTTGAACTTTTTTACATTGACATAACTCAGACTGGGAAGTCAAAGTAAGCCCCACTATATGCACTTCCAAGATATAAAGCTGGTCTTGCCCAGGACCACCCTAAGACCTACCTTGTACATTCCTCGGACTACAGCTATGGCATCTGCCAACTGCTGATGGCAACATTTTCTTATTAATTCTTCATTCTGCAAACCAGAAATAAGTACAGAGAGCACCATTATGTATTTCCAAAAAAACTCTCACACCTACTAGGGAGGAGCTCAGTATAAAATCATTCAAATCATCACAGTCTCTTAAGAACTTCATTTTATTACTATTTCTTTTATGCTATAGCTCTTATAGCACATTCCATTTTTACTTACACTTAACCAAAAGCAATAGCGTCCCTCTGGATAATCTGAAGATTTTATTTCATTTTACATATCAAAGTCTTTTTCATGTTTTCCTATAATAGCTTTTAAAAGTAGTGAAATCTGCCCAGCCAGTATGGGTCAGCAGTTGAGTCTTGAACTAGGAAGCAAGAGGTCATGGGTTGATTCCCTGTCAGAGCACATGCCAGGGATGCAGACTCTATGCCCAGTAGGGGGCGTGCAGGAGGCAGCTGAATGATGATGTGTCTCATCTCATGATGTTTCTATCTATCCCTCTCCCTTCCTCTCTCTCTCTAGAAATCAATAAAAACATATTTTTTTAAAAGTAGTAAAATCTATTATCAATTCATATCCTCTTTTGCTCCTTCTACTTTTTGAATGAGACAAACTCATGTAAAAAAAAAATCTAGAGTCACTAATCCATAAACTACTTATTTTCTGATTAATCAAATAATTTAACCAGCTCTATTAGGATAACAATGAAAGATACCATCTCTGATTCCAGCATGGACTGTAAACAATGATAGAGTTTAGAATCAGGCAGAATTAGATTTCAATATCATTGTGCCATTTACTATTATCTGTCTGCCCTTAAGCAAGTTACTTAACCTTGGTAGCTCAGTTTCCATATTTGTAGATCAGGGATAAAAGTATTTCCATTTTAGGATTGTTAAGGGACTTGTGCTTAAAAGGCTTAGTATGGTACTTAGGATGGTGTGGTCAACAATAGATGGAGAGCAGTGAGTGAAGGCCTGGGGGAGTGGTTAGAGGGAGGGGGTAGAAGGGGTAAAAAGAGGAACATCTGTAATACTTTGAACAATAAAGATAAAATTAAAAAAATAAACAAAATCATTTATCAGAAAATTTAAAAAACACACAAAAAAATAGATGAAGATGGGATTTTTGTTTTATAACAGATAAATAAGAGGGATGCCTATTCATAATGACAGATAAGTGTGCTAATCTGACCATAGATTTTAAGAAATTCCTCAAAGCAGCAGTTTTCATGCCTTATCTCCAATGAGCCGTTAAAGCACAAACAAGATCATATAAAATTGTGGCTGAGTCAAATCTCAAATCATCAAGCTGTCTGGCCTAGAACCCAAACTGGTGATCCTGAGCAAGTTAATTAACATTTCTGTGCCTCAGTTTCCTCATCTATAAAAGAGGGATAATAATAATGCTTACTTCATAAGATTAATGTGAGGAATAAATAAATTTGTATACAGAGTACTTAGAAAAGTTCCTGACACATGGTAAAGCTACATGTATTACACAGCTATATGTAGCTCTGTGAAGCTATTATATGGGATGCGACATATAAAATTATGTTGCCCTCAAAAATTGCTAAGTTCAAAATTGTAGTACATACATGTCTAAGCACAAGATCAGTCCACACACAAAACAAAGGTAATGAAACAAACAAACAAAAAAAAAACAACACAAAGGAAATTAGAGAAATTCTACCTGTTGATAATGTCTTTCGACTGTTAGGATCCTGTCATGTAGAACAGCGAAGAGATTGAAAGACTCCTCTTTAATACGGTCCTCAAACTTCAACTGAAGCAATTGTTTCAGGAACCCAAAATCTACCTGAAGGGATCTAATAATCTAAAAATAGAAAAACATAATTATTGTAGGGAGTAAAGGATTGTGACGCCATGCCTGGTTCTGGGCATATAACCTGGGTACCTGGTCAGGGGATTGTCCTGCCTTTTAAGATCTGTCAAATACTCTTTATATTGGGAATTCCAATTAATCTACTAATGGAATAAGGGAGAAGAGGTTCCTAGTGCTATAACATAATAAGAGACTAGGAAAATTCTGGGACAAGTGGAATAGGGAAACTAAGATAATTAAACAGCAGTTTGCAGCCACCTAGTAAATCCTATCTTCCCTAAACCAAGGATACTTCTTCCCAACCAGAGGGTTAAATCACCCTACTCAGGGAAACTCAATAAGAGAAACCCAATTAAGTGCCATCTGCCAACCACACCCAAGGACAAACAAATTAAGAGAATAAATCTCCTATTGATACAACAGCATAAAGCTGACGAATATTCTATTGCTCCACCCCTAGGACCTCCCCTAAACGCCCAGCCTTTAAAACCCCTGAAAATGAAGGTCCCAGCGTGCTCTCTCTCAGGGGGAACACTGTGCCATTCCTTCCCCCTCTCCTTCTCCTACAGGTATGTATCTCCTAAACTTCAAGGGACCCCACAAGACTTGAAATCAGGGGAGCAATGGGCAGCAGCAGCTCATCCCACGCTAGCCCCCTGAACCTGTCTCCAAGGCCCCCTTTTCTCGGACTTCCCAGCGAGCCAAGGCAGCCCAGCCTAGGCTCTCCCGTAGCTTCTTCTATGCCCTTCCTTCTTTCACTGTCCTAAGTATATTTTTTGCTGTGGTCAGTAAATTCATGCTTGCTTTTCTATACTTTGTCCCTTGATTGAAATCTTTCCTTCAAGAAGACTAGCGCCGCCCTAGCCAGCTTTGCTCAGTGGATAGAGCTGCAGACTGAAGGGTCCTCAGTTGCAGGCTCAATCTCTGGCTCTGGTCCTGTTCTGGGCGCTTGTGGGAGACCACCAATCGATGTGTCTCCCTCACATCCATGTTTCTCTCTCTCTGTCTTTCTCTTTCACTCTCTCTAAAAAATCAATGGAAAAATATCCTCGGGTGAGGATTAACAGAAAAATAAAAAGACTAGAACCAAGGCCACCTTGTCCCACTAGGTAACACTAGTAATTTACTCTCATACAGAATAAAGTGCAATGATCCTCTGTCATAACCCAAAGGTATAATTCTCAAGATGTGGTTTTTGGATCAGAAAAGATGGGCAAAATCCACATTTGTTATGAATCCACTTAAATATATAACCAGTATATTGATTAGTTTCCATTTGGGTTTTGTTGGTGGTGTTGTTTGGGTTTTTTATTGTTAATCCTCACCCAAGGATATTGTTTCCATTGATTTCTTTTTTAGAGAGAGTGGAAGGAAAGAGGAGAGACACACAAAGAGAAACATCGATTGGTTGCCTCCTGCCCTGATGGGGCCAGGGATTGAACCTGTAACCCAGGTATGTGACTGAGGGAAGCGGGGGGGTGGGGGGGGCGGATGATGCTCTCACCACTGGGCAAAACCGGCTAGGGCTAATTATGATATGTGATCACAAAAACCCAATGTATTTTTGTTTTCCACAGTCCATTTAAAATATATTCCTAGGTCATCTGCCCCTGAATGAAAACTTTAGGCAATTCCATGACTGTTTGTTCATCCTTGGGAATAAAAAGTCCTACCATCACCCAAATCACAGCCTCAAAGTAGCTTTTGGGATATGACCACTATGAGTTAACATGACCACTTCAACTTCACTCATAGAGAAGGCTTCTCCCTGTACTCCAAGCTAAAGACAGTCATTGGCAGCTGCCTGTCTTCAAGGAAAAGAGTGTGATTCACTCTTGAGCTCTCCCTCACCTCTCCTCCCACACTCAGCTGCTGTGTCTCCAACATGGACAAGGCAGAAGGAATAAAGAAGCAGGGCTACTCCTCCCTGGTGGGGTGGCTGGCAGGTCACCCAGGACTGGCAGGTAGGGGGAACTAACTTTCCTTCCCTTGGGCACTGACATAGCTTCTCTAGAGATTCCCATGGCCAGGACCCTCTCTCCTGTGGATGCAGGTTGACCTAAGCAAATGCTTCTCTACTCTGGTGATCATTGCTACTCCTTCTTCAGCTCCTATGAACCTGGAGTTCTCCTTTCCCCTCTCCCTGCTATTGGGTGTCCTCTGTCCTTCTAGATCACTCTTCTGGATAGGACCCAGAATGACCCCACATTAGCTAATATCTCTCTCTCTCTCTCTCTCTCTCTCTCTCTCTCTCTCTCCACATATGGTCCATGGAAAACAGTCACACATCCCTCACCTCAACCACTCTGAAGTGTAGACTCATCGCAACTTAGCCGTGCCATCTTCTAGTCACAGCCCACTTTAACTTCCTTACACGCGGATCAAGCACAATAGCAGCAAACACTTCAAGTTCCATTGAAGCCTGCCTTACTCGCTGTCAGCTGAGGAAGATCACCTCTGTTACCCTCTCCCCCACAAAGATCATAGCAATAGTGTTTTCTTAAGAAACCACTTCAACAAGTTTTCCTCTTCACCTCCTGATCCCCTTTTTATTACCCTTGATCTGATTCAAGAGCTAAGAGTCACTGATCTTATGTGCAACACTTCCTTTGTAAACTCTACAAATGGGATCTAACTCACACTCACTTTGGAATTTGACACCTGGTACTAGCATCTTGGGAAGAATCTCATTTTAGTATCCTCATACTCTGTGCAAGGTGTCATTTTACAGGTGAAGATATCAAGGCTTCGAGAGGTTAAGTAAGTGACTAGTCTAACTTTATGTGGCCAGTAAGTGGGAGGCCCAGATTTGGACAGACACTGACTCGTATTCCTTTCTCTTTATATCATGCTGTCAACTTATACAGCATTTGGTCTGGCCCTGCCAAGGCATTAGGGGTGAGCTAATGAAATGTTTGACCAAATACAGCAGGCTAATTTTTAAGTTGATAATTTTGTATGACCCGCAAATGATGTTATAAATATCCAAATGGTTCGGGAGGCCCAGATTTGGACAGACACTGACTCGTATTCCTTTCTCTTTATATCATGCTGTCAACTTATACAGCATTTGGTCTGGCCCTGCCAAGGCATTAGGGGTGAGCTAATGAAATGTTTGACCAAATACAGCAGGCTAATTTTTAAGTTGATAATTTTGTATGGCCCGCAAATGATGTTATAAATATCCAAATGGTCCATGGCAGAAAAAAGATTCCCCACCGCTGTTATAAAGGGTAGTATGTTGAGGAATCATTAAAAATATATCCTAGAGCAAGTGAAGTTTTAAGAAACTCCTTAAATTGCAGGAACAAGTCGAGATGACTTTGTCTTAAAAATCAGCCCAGGTGTGCTCTCCTGAATAATAAATTTAATTAAGAAATAAGTAAAAAAAAAACAGCCCTTATAGACTACTTGTTCTGAAGAAAGGAGGCACAGGGATCCGGGTGTGGTCAGTCAAACTGCTGCTGAACCACAGACTCCCATGGAGACTATAAACTCAGATACAATATGACCAAAACACAACCAACAACTCGAAGATGCTGAAGAATGAAAAGGAAGGGGGTGGGCAGAAGGAGGAAGAAGTAAAGTGGTAGACAGTGCATGTGAACTGTGTCTTTAAGAAGGTGCCCAAAAGCTGCCACACAACATTTCCATCTCAATTCTATTGATCAGAACTTAGTCGTTTAGACATCCCTAGTTGCAAAAGAATACAGTTATAAACTTTCCTGAAGGCATTAAAAAAGACAACAAATTGGCATTATATAGGAAAAGGGACAGCCTCAGAAATTACTAGTGGGAATGCAAATAGGTGCAATCTCTATGCAGGACAGTTTGGCAATATCCTTACAAGGACTAATGCATACATCCTCTGACTCAGAAATTCCACTTTTAAGAATTTACACCACATGTCTGGCCAGCGTGGCTTAGTGGTTGAGCATCGACCTATGAACCAGGAGGTCATGGTTTGATTCCCGGTCAGGGTATATGACGGGATTGCAGGCCCAATCCCCAGTGTGGGGTGTGCAGGAGGTAGCCGATCAATGATTCTCTCTCATCATTGATACTTCTATCTCCCCTTATCTCTTCCTCTCTGAAATCAATGAAAACATTGTTTTTAAAATGTCCATGCCCTAGCTGGTTTGGCTCAGTGGGTAGAGCATCAGCCTGTAGACTGAAGGGTCCCTGGTTCGATTCCAGTCAAAGGCACATGCCCGGGAGGCAGCCGATTAGTGATTCTCTCTCATCATTGATGTTCCTATCTCTCTGAAATCAATAAAAATATATTTTTTAAAAATGTCCATCAATAAAGGATAGCTAAATAAATTATGCATTTTATAATATGATGTACTTGTGAAATATACAATGATTTTCAAGTTCTATTGTTAAGTGAAAAAACAGAAACAAAATACATAAGAGTATTTATAGTAGTATGCTACCCCATGTGACAGTTTTATTGACTAGCAATTTTAATATTAACTCTTGATGTCTGATATATATGAAATGTTTTATTTCTTTTTGTTTGTTTGTTTGTTTGTTTTTAAATATATTTTTATTGATTTCAGAGAGGAAGGGAGAGAGAGAGAGATAGAAACATCAATGATGAGAGAGAATCATTAATCAGCTGCCTCCTGCAAGCCCCCTACTAGGGACCGAGCCCACAACCTCCCAGGCATGTGCCCTTGACTGGAATGGAACCCGGGACCCTTCAGTCTGCAGGCTGATGCTCTATCCACTGAGCCAAACCCGCTAGGGCATATGCTTTATTTCCTTACAATCAAAAAAGCCCCCCCCCCAAAAAAAAATGGGTCCAAAGGAACTATTTGACAAAACTGTATGTTGGGTAACACAGTTATTCATTATATTGTTTTCTACCTTCTACAATTTTTAAAAAGTATTATACATAGCAAATGTTCACAGATGTAAAAAGAATTCCAAAGAGAGTAACAAAACATCTCATTAAACAATATATATACATATATATATATATATATATATATATGCACACAACATGAATATGACATAAATATAAGTTGTGGTTCATATTGATAATTTTTAAAAGCACAATTGTCATCTAACTCAGTTTGTAAAAGATGCTAATATTTTTAAATTTTTGATCATTTCAATTCTGCCAAGGAAAGAGACCTAAAGAGACCTAATTCTTTTAAAAATCATCCCAGAAGTTTCAAATTAATCCAGATTACCTTCACTAGTTTTTGTGTAGATGAGCATAGCTCATTTAATGGCAAAATTTCACTGGAATCCGTTTGAGTAGCATGGTCTGTGTTGAAAAAGCCAACTTTCAAATCATCTGATATGTTAAGTCTGAAAAAAAAAAGAATATTAAATGTGTTTTATGTAGTAGATATTTTCTTAAAATATATATTAGTGAGTATATTTTTGTGTAGATCATATTATGTTTTAAAGATTCAAAAGGGTTAATAAAGTGAGGAAACCTCTGAACTATCTGTTGATAATTTGAGGTTTTCACCAAGACTCTGCTGGATTACCCAATTTTCTATAGCATTTTGCTCCACTGATACTCATTTCCATTTTCTGAGATGCTGTTATAATCATAATTAGCTAATTTATTAATATTTATAATAGGAAGAGAGCAAAGGGGAGGCTAGACATTATAAACATGGCCATCTGGGCAGCTTCACCGGGAAGCTGCGGCTTCACGCTCCCCAGGGAAACCCCGGTCCACTCCCCGCAGATCGCTGGGGAAAGGGATCCAACAAAGGTGCTTGCTTGTCAGCCTAGCCTGAGGAACAATGAATTGGCTGGACCCCATCAGAAGTGCATAAAAACAGTTAAAATCTCCAGACAAAGAGTTCTCTCTCTCTTGCCTTGGTTCTTGTTCTTGTTTGCTCTGTGACCTGCACTTGCCCATGTGCTCACCTGTTCTTCCTCCATAGCCATGTGGCCTTATGCAGCCACATGACCCAGGCCCATGCGGACCCCACCCACAGGATGCTGCACTGGACTGGACTTTAATATGGAGCAGAAACTATGGGCAGTGGCCTTTATTCCTGCCCTGCTAAAGACACAGTTGGACTTCCTCCATGGTGAGAGGGACTGAGATAGGACCTTGGAGGGGAACCCCCTTAACTTTACATCATCAGTAGAGCTTTACATGAAACCCCATCCTCTTGTGGCAGCCTCAGGACATTATTTTATTTGTGGCACTCTAAGAACTCCACTTCCACCGAAAACAATTTAGATTTATAAGCCCCCTTTTAGTATATCATCTACTGTGTTGTGTGTGCTACCACTTGAAGCCATTCTAAATTATGCACAGGAATATCAAGTGAAAATACTGTAAGACAGTGATTCTGTGGTTTGAGGACCCCTGGGGCTCCAAGACACTCAGAGAATCCACAAGGTCAAAATTATTATCATAAAAACATTAAGATTTTGTTGGCTTCTCCCACTTTTATTCTCTCACAAGTGATGAGTGGAGTTTCCCAGGCTACAGGTTATGTGACTGCATGGCGGACTGAATGAGAATTCAGCTATCTTTCCTTAAGCCAGATATTGAAAAGACTTGCAAAAATGTAAAAAAAAAGTGACACTAGTTCATTAAAGTCTTGTTTTGAAAAATACATGTTTTCCTTTAAAATATACTTGTATTAACACAGAATTGACTTATCATTATTTTAAATAAATTTCTCCTTTTAGATGTGTAATATGATTACTGAATAGAGGGAACCTAAATTAAGGCTCTTTGAGGTCCCTAATAATTTATAAGACCATAAAGAGGTCCTGAAACCAAAACTTTGAGAGCTGCTTTTTTGCAATGACCATGTAACTATACTGTATTTGATTTTCAAATTCAATTCTTAAAAAATCTGAGCAGGGCAGGAGCAAGTATTTGTATACTCCTCCTACAGAGCTTTAACAACAGGCATCTCAAACAGTAACCGGAAGGCCAATATTCTGGATGCAACCTCTCTTTTAGAGGTTGATCAAACTTACCACAGCTATCAGTTTCTAAAATGTCAGCTAGCCCTGCCAGTGTGGCTCAGTGGTTGAGCGTCAGCCTATGAATCAGGAGGCCAGGTTTCGATTTCTGGTCAGGGCACATATCTTGTTGTGGGCTTAATCCCCAGTGTGGGGCATGCAGGAGGCAGCCAATCAATGATTCTCTCTCATCATTGATGTTTCTCTCTCTCTCCCTCTCCCTTCCTCTCTGAAATCAATAAAAATGTATTAAAAAATAAAATAAAATGTCAGCTAAAAAATAAATCAATAAAAGCCCAGTAGAATTATCAGACTTTCAGTGCCAGCTCCGAAGACAGGGTGTCTGCACTTCTGTCCTACACAGGGATAAGAGGGAAGAGGTTTCCTGTGTGACTCTGGACATTGCCACATGTGGAAATGATGCCAAGAACTGCCACAGTCACCTAGAGGGTACAGCCAGTGGGGCAATGCCAGGGCATAGATGAGTTGTTTTTAAAAAGATGAAAATAATTTTGACTGTTAACTTTGTTTAGCCATTGACTCAACTTTCTCATTTGTAATAAGTACAGGAGAAAGCCCATGTAGAATAGGTGCAATACTTTGTTTTGTATTCTTATTTTTATATACAGGGTGTCCCCAAATATGTATACACACATTTTGAATGCTTATAAAGGCAGTGTTTATTAAAATACATTTCATTTTCAAAATTGAGCTATCAGCTGTTGTAGAATGTATACATTTTGGGGGACACCCTGTATACGTACTGATGCTAGACCTCATCAACAGTATCATCTGGGCAGGGAGGGAGCATCAGTAATGTACCTCTTAATGTCAATGAAAATTTCTAGTGTTTTTCCACAGAAAACTGTATTTTAGATTTGGTTTAATTCATTGCAGGGGCCTGTGTTTTTCTCAGTAACACAGTGCTGTTGGGAGAGGAAATCTTGGGCCCTGAGTGTCTCTGCGCATTCTTTCTGGCCATGCCAAGAATGCAAAGCCCCGGCGGTGCTTTCCGCAGCCATTCTCCAGAGTTGTGTGCACAGTGAGGAGATGACATTTTCCTCCTGCAAAACAAAATGTCTATGGTGTCAGGGATGGAGCTCAACAACATGGTCTTCCCCTTTCCAAGGCAGGCCTGGCTGAGGCAAGCTTTAAGTGTCTAATTAGTCAACAGCAAAGATCAGTGCTGAGTCCCTACTAAGTCCCCAGTATGGTAGTATTAACCAGTGAGGTATGTGTGTGTGTGTGTGTGTGTGTGTGTGTGTGTGTGTGTGTGTGTGTGAGGGGGGAGGGGGAGGGTACCCAGCCACCTGGTGGCATGTTGATTCCTGGACCCACATTATAAGTCTAGGAATCAAACAGCAGAAGTGGAAGTGACTTCTCTTGCCAATACACCTCATAACCTACTCCTGGAATTGTTGCTTTCTGCCCCAACATCTGTGTGATCTGCTAGTTTGGAGGTCTTCATTCTCAAGGGGAGAATGATCCCTCCCAGAAACACTTAACCAAAGGCAGAGAAAGTGGTCACTCTAAGGGCTGAAGTGAGTGCTTCCTATTACCAAGGGACACGTGGGTGACTGGTAGACAGCGAAGTCAGGGAAACAATGTTTGGAACCCAGGAGAGTCTCTGGAATGCCTCCAATCATTTCCATGCTGAAGGGGAACAGAATGTGCTGCCCCCAAAATATAACTCTTGGGCATAACTCTTGGGCATTATCTTGCGCTGGTTGTTTTTAAGAAACAGCAGGCACAGGGGGAGCTCTGCTAACTGAGTAGAAGCTGCCCTTTTGCAAGGGACATTTGCATTTATAAGACAATCTCCATCTGCAAGGGTATATCTCTAGGTACCAAGTAGAACAGGGTGATTCAATATCTAGAAACTCACCAATAAAAAAGGCTCAGGCTCAAATCTTCATAACAACCACACCTAATTACCTCCCAAAATTGGCTCCCCGCTTCCCCCAACATCATCTTTAGTCTTTAGCTGTAAATGGAATTGAAGGTGTTGACTTGGACTATTTTCGGGAATTACTTAGTTTTCCTGGGTATTGCCCATGAATACAGAAGGTATATATGTTTTTAGTTTTTTTTCAAACTATAGGAACAAACTGGCAGAGCAACTTACAGCAGATACAGAAGGTCACCTTCCTAGAGATAACATCTGGGCCTCAGTTGTATTTCAGCTCCAGGCCCAGAAAAGCAGCAAAACCTGGCATGTGACACCAGGACCAGCTGCAAGGACTAACAACCCCCTGCCCTGACACTGACCAATCAGTGGAGACCACGATCCAGAAGAAACACACCTAGAAAACGGATGAATATTCTGCTGAAACCCTCCCCTAAGACCTCCCATAAGATCCCCACCAGCTGGAAAGAGATAAAAGCCTCAAGACAAAGTACCCAGCAAGTGCTCTCCCTCTGGGGAGCAGCCCACTCCATTCCCATTTTCCTCTTCCCTCTCTTCTTCCCTCACAGGCACACATCTCCTAAACTCTGAGAATCCCCACGAGACTTGCAATGAGGGGAACAATGGTCAACGGCAGCTCGTCCCAGGCTAATTCCCCTGAACCTGTTCCTAAGGCTGCCCAGAGAGGTAGGGCAGCCCAGCCTAGGCTCTCCTGTTGCTTGTTCCATGCTAAACAATTCCTTGTTTTGCTGGCCCCAGTTTTAATAAACGTTCCCTCATAGTCACCTGGACTCACGTTGTGAAATTTTTTCTGCACAAAGTCAGGAACCCGCACACTACCAGCCCTGTAGACAGACCCACTCAGGGCTAGGTCCTCTGTTCAGTAACACTCTTTCAAGAGGTCTTAATCTCAGCCTTTTGGGGTCACAACTACATTCTGCATTTGCAACTACAATACTGCGTAAATCTTCTTTCACCATCTTACTTCCTTTTATTTATTTATTTGTTGTTGTTTGTTTGTTTTTTGTTGTTTTTGTTTACTCCTTCTGCCTATTTTTAGAGGGAGCAGCCTGCACTGCCTTCCATGTCACATCAAAATGACTATGGCTTGGAGCCCTGCTGCTCAGGGAAGACTCCAGAAAAGTCCTCACGAACCAACAAAAGGTGGGCTGAAAGGTGCTCAGTTTTTTGCACTGAGATGTGTCTTCCATGTCTTTTTTTAAAAAAAAGTTTTTTTAAGAAAAAATGTTAAAAGCATCAAGAAGAAAAACAAGTTACATGTATACATATATGTACATGTACGTGTGCATGCACATATACAAATACTCAAAAATGGGATCCATTCTGCCTTCTTTCACTTAATATCTGATCTTGACTATCTTCCAGTTTCACTAAATAAACTTCAAGTACATCTATTTCATTAGTTTCATAAAAAAAGTCAATAAAACTAGAATCC